GACGATGAAAATTGTGGGGGAGGTCCTTGCAGGGACGCAGAGATCGCCAGTGGGGAAAACAGAAACAAATATAAAGTACATACCTTTGTTAGCAACTTCCCATGCACACTCGAATAGCAGTGGTTTGCTGCAGTCGCGAGTGTCGGAAGTATCGACGGTTAGAGAAGGAGGCATCGCGAGAGGTAGAACTGGACAGAGGAAAGAGCTTTGATGAGCGTGAAAGCAAAAGTGGAACTGTAGAGTTTATATATATGCGAGAGACTCGAGCTATCACACGGACCGGAGATGGTTGAGACGAAGTTGGCTCACTTGAGTACCCCAACGACTCACCAATCACCAGTGGCTAACAGAGTAAAATTTGTAAAACGGTCACCGCTGCACCGCAGTACATATAATATGTTCTCTACAATTTACTACTAATTTTTGGGATTTGTCTAAACTGTTGGGGTATCGATTATCTGGCGGCCTATGCCGGTACAGTGTTCAAGATCTTGAGCACCTCTCCCAAATTGGGTATCCGTCGCAAGTGCCGCACAATGAAGAGAAAGGCGACATTACATCGGAAACAGAAATCACAGGATGTCACTTCCCGAAGATCCGCATTGAAATCCTCAAAATCCAGGGATGAACGTGCTCCAACGACCTCGCCTACGACTTTACCGTGGGATATCGAGTTTCCGAAAGGGATAAGGGAACTGTTAATTAACAATAGAACACAGATAAAGCAAAAGGGAATGGTGTGTGCAATTGTAATGCTGCTCGCTGACTAGTAAAGTTGAACAAAGAACGCAGGTCTTAAAGATTCCAAAGGAGTACAAATACCAAAACCCTGAGCTTGAAAGGCGCCCAAATGTGAAAGAAACGCTCGAACAATTCGCTAACTATCTTTTACACGAGAGCGGGAAGTCTTTAAACCAACCGGTGCAGGACGAATCCCTAATTCCAGTGATAACTCGAGGTTTACTGGTATATTTCGAGAAGTGAGTGACGAATAAGCATCTATTGATTCAATACAGACGCTATAAAACGCATTCAGAACACTTTCTGCCATTCTATTATATAAGGAAGAGAGGGGGCAATACGCGTTCTTGGATAATAAGTTTAGAACTGGAACTGGGGCTACCATTGACGAAGATGAAGACGCGCTAATCACTCTGACGAGTTGGTATGGTGCAGATCATTTGTTGCGTTTGATAGGTTGGTCCTTTTGAGCATTCGGAGTATCTACAGCTGAAATTGCGATAGTCCAACTCCCAGAAATCCTGAAACGAGCATCTCTGGACCCCTATTCCATTGATGTCATCAATAACTATACCCAGTTTTTACTTGAGTAGGCGCAGGGCCAAAGGGATGCACATACAAACTAATTCTCCATTTAGGTGGCTGGATCAAAACAGAGAACGCGTCTTTGCGCCTGTTTCCGACTATTATACGGTTCCCGACTACTACAAAGCCGAGATCAAGTCGAGAAACTTATCAACTCGAGACGCGGCACCTCAGGCATGACTTCTTCATGACAAACTTGACCTTCAATGTCTCTTATATCCAGATCTGTTCGATTCTATGATCAGGCTCAACAGTTCTAGTGGCAGTCAAATTCGCAATGCCGGGATTTTCCTAATGGAGCACATACATTCGAATAATCTATCTATGGTGTACATAAATAGTGTGTTTGCCGTCTCTCTATATTCGTACTTTATTTTTCTACATACCTGAACGTACCTGATCGACTACTAAGGACTTGTTCTCACGAAAGATACCAACCAACTTGTTCAAGTCTTACAGGCATGGCACGCCTCTTTGATTCTTGACTGAATATCTTCTGATGTAATCCTCATTGCCAACCACAACTTTCTCTCAAGAGGCTCAATAGAGGATTAGAACAGCCTAGGATGACAGTAGAAAAGTAACATCATGAAACACTCGGATGTGGTTGGTTCAACCTTGGACTCAGCCACAATTTCGGGTACTCAATCAGAAACTTACACAGGTATCTGTCTCTTGAAATCCACCGACCCGACACCGTTTTCGGTAATGGCCGGGTTCACTTGCTAATCTCGGCGATCTTTGATAATGCCTTTCGGAATTAAAACATTCTCGACTTGGTCAACCTTTCACCTATCGAAGCGAGGGTTTCGAGCATTGAGTAGAGATTGGCCATAGTATGATGGTCGAGTCGAGTCTACTGCAAACTGTACACTATATTTCTATTGCACTCGTACTATTGTATTTTGCTTTGCATCACTGTATCGACAATGTTTTACTGGACCATGAATAACTCACTCCCAATGCATGCGAGTATATTCGTTGAGTTTTGGTGACAGGAAAGGAGGGTAAGCTCCTGCCTGAACTTCTGATAGACCAATCAATTCAAAAGCAAGTTGACCACAACCAATTCGACAATTTTACTATGCCTTCACAATTTGTCATGTCCCATCCAGCATACTTGGGCATTCTGCTTCACACTTCAAAGTATCCTCACCAAGCATGTAATGGTGTACTATTAGGGACGGTCAAACCAGGCGGAGAAACGACTGTTGAGAGGAGCCTTCCCTTGCTTCACAATTGGACAGGTCTGAGTCCAATGATGGAGATTGGTCTTGACTTGGTACATTCACTATTGTCTGATTTTATCGTTATTTGACCGCCGCCCACCATCTTAGGCCGAGACACATGCGACAACATTAAAACTGAGCATTGTTGGGTATTATCAAGCCACCCCGAATTTTCATGACCGTGGGCTTGGTCCAGTTGGAGATAAAGTATTGGCAAAACTGCGTCAAAAATCTCCCAACGCTCTTGGCTTACTGGTCGGTCATCATTCCCCACAGTGATCATTATTAATATAGAGTAATTCTAGGTTCACTTGGACGAGCTCACACCTAAATCTCATTTAGAGACGCCTGGTCTCGTGGTGTGTCACTCGTGTTATCTTTTGCCCACTATACTAACACCGGACTTCAGACAATTTCTTCCTCTCAGGTCACCCTTCAGAACCGCCAGTCAGTTGCTCGAGTCTTGGAACTGATCAGCTCTGGTCTGCCAGGTCGATATGCAGATTTCGACGATCATCTGGAGAATGTACAGCTGGACTGGCTCAACAACGCTGACTGCAACGATAATGATTGGTCTAACAATTGATAATTGTGGTAAAGAAGATGTTACACGACAGAATAGGGTAGTACACCGGGAGTAAATACTATATAGATTCTGAATAGTACACGGGGCGTGGACTGAGGGTAAACTAAAATAATGCTGCATCACGCACTAGGCGGATTACCCTGTTGCATACTTGCATTTGCCATCTGTACGGCTCGAGCCTGTGCTTGTGCTTGGGCCTGAGCTTTGGCCTGCGCCTGAGCCTGTTGGGCCTGGAGCTGTTGTTGTCGAAAGAGTGCGATCTATTCGAATTAGTATCAGCTTTTATTCCAAATCAGCCAAGTTACTTACAGCGTCTGCGGATACCCCTGAAATTTGGGACATCTGGGCTGCCAACGCGGAGGGGTGCATCCGAAAGTTGGGGTTCTGCATAGCTGGATGTGTAAGCATTTGAGGTTGTGGAGGGGTACCACCCATGGCGCCTTGCGAGAGGATGGACGCGGCAGATTGTGGTCTTGGTGGGGTACCATTGGCCATTGCCGCGGCAGCATTCAACCGTTGTTGATTTTGTTGTTGTTGAAGGAGAAGCATTGCAGAGTTTACGTTTACGGGGTTCGTCATATCTCCGGCGGCACCCCGCTGTGCCGCTGCGATCAGTGCAGCATTTCCTTGCTGT